AATTGCCTTCAAAACAAACCATTTTCCTTCCATTTATTAAGAGAATGTAGCACCTCCTTGTGGCTGGAAGATGCAACTGCTTCATGGAGTTTCATAAATGGAAATTTCACTATCCTTCCCTGGAAAACTCACAGTCAAATCTTCAAAGATTATTAACAAAACATCTGGATGTGTAACATGTCATATGTAATGTCTTCCTAATTTTTAATGGTGGATAAATCAAATTCGTAAGTATCAAAGATCTAGCCAGGCACACTGATGCAAGCCTATAATTGTATCACTCAAGAGGCTGAGGCAAGACTGCCACAAATTCAAGGCCAACTTAGGCCACATACTGAACAATAGGATAGCTCAAAATAAAACAACAATTTAAATAAATCCAGCCAGGCATGGTCGATTTTTTTTTTTTATACAAGGGATCAAACTCACAATCTTGCACTTACCAGGTAGGCATTTATACCACTAAGCTATATCTCCAACCTCAGTCTGTAAATCTTCAAGTAGGAGAGGGTAAAAAAGCCTCTACCATACATGATTGCCCACCCAAAACCATATGAAGTATCAGAATAAACTGAAGTGATATATAATCTTAAGGAATCAAAGGCCATCTTTTTTTTTTTTTTGTATCTGTACCCGGGATAGAACTCACGATTGCCTGCTTGCAAGGCAGGTGCTTATGCCGCTGAGCTAAATCCCCAGCCCAAATGTGGTGTCCTCTTGAGATAGGCTCTCACTATGTAACCCAAGTTGGACTTCAACTTCCCAGGGAGACTAAACTGGGCTCAAACTCTCTATTCTGCTTTAGCCTGTGAATGGCTGGGATTATGTGCCTGCTTGGCTATTCTCAGGGTTTGCAGAGTCACTTATCAAAAGCTCTCTTTGCCAGGCATGGTAGTACACACCTGCAATGTCAGCGCTCCAGAGGCTAACGCAGAAGGGACACTGAGAGTTTGAGATCAGCCTGTACTACACAGGGAGAATCTCTCAAAACAAAAACGAGGGGCTGGGGATTTAGCTCAGCGGCATAAGCACCTGCCTTGCAAGCAGGCGGTCGTGAATTCGATCCCCGGTACCGATAAAAATGAAAAAGACCAAAAAAAAAAAAGACTGGGAGAGGAGGTGATGCTTAATTTTCTTTTAAAATACAGCATGTGATGGGGATTTAGTTCAGTGGTGTAGGTGCCTGCCTGGCAAGCGCAAGGTTCTGAGTTCCATCCCCAGAACCAAAAAAACAAAAACTTAAAAAAAAAAAAAAATTAACAGCGGGGCATGGTGGCACACTCCTGTAATCCCAGCACCCGTAAGGCTAAGGTAGGAGGATCCTTGCAAGAGTTCAACACCAGGGGCTGGAGGTTTAGTTCAGTGGCATAAGCACCTGCCTTGGAAGCAGGCAGTCGTGAGTTCCATCCCCGGTACCAATAAAACGAAAAAGACAAAAAGAGTTCAAGACCAGCCTAGGCTACAAAGGGAGCCCAAGGCCAGCCCGAACAGCATAGCCAGACCCTGTCTCAAGAAAAAAACAATAGATAAAAGTAATAAAATACAGCATGCTAGCCAGGGATGGTGGTGGTCACCTATGACCCCTACACTGAAGCAGATTAAATTCATGTCCTACCTCGCCAATGAACGAGACTCTTGTCTCAAAATACAATGTATTTTGGCTGGGGATTTAGCTGAGTAGCATAAGTACCTGCCTGACAAGCACAGGGTTGTGAGTTCAATCCTTGGTACAAAAATCCCAATACTCAGAAGGCTGAGACAGGAGTACTGCTGTGAGGTCCAGACCAGCCTAGGTTACATAGTGGGTTCTGGGATTACAGGCAGGAACTACCACACCGAGCAGAAATAAAATGCACATTGAAACCTTTACAAAAAGGAGGTCAGCTGGTTAGCACTTGGGAGGCTGGGGCAGGAAAATCACTGTGAGTTTAAGAACAGCCTGGGTTACAAGTGAGCCCAAGACCAGCCTCAACTGTATAGTGAGACTGTTTCAAAAAGACAAAATAAAAAGGTCAGGGATCCATCACAGGCTTAACAATGATAACTGAAGGTCACAAAAAGGGTTTTTGAGGGTGGTAGTAATGAAAAAGGAGTTTCATTTCTATATAGACAGCCCATACTACTACGCAAGCCCATGTCTCTCACTCAAAGCACAATTCTAGAAGAGCCTAGGCAATGAATTTGTCCTAACCCTTGATATATACCTTCTACCTACAGGGCTAGGAAGTGCACACCTGTAACCCCAGCACTTCGGAGGCTAAGGCAAGAAAATTACAAGTTCCAGGCCAGACTGCACTACATAGTAAGAGCCTGTCTCAAAACAACACCTCTCCAAAAATCACTTCCACCAGAAGAGAGTAACTATACTTAAAAACACTTGTAATTTGGGCAGAACAGTTGGTAATTCCAACACTTTTCAGAGGCTGAGGCAAGATGGCAAATTCAAGTCCAGCATGGAGAACCGAGCAACAAAGCCGCCAAGTAAGAAGGGTTGGGGATATAGCTCAACACAAAGACTATGCTCCACTCCCAGTATCACCCTAAAAGGAAAGAAGTGGAATGACTTCAAAATCTCATCATCATTCACACTAGATGACAAAAGGACCCAAACATGCCTCTACTCTAAAAGGGATTCAACTGTTTTACTCATGGAGCATTACTTACCGGACAAAAAGGTAAGGTAAGGGGAAGGGAAGCAAAGATGTTGGCACTGATAGCAGAATGAAGAACAGACAGGAAAATAAAGTACCGTTGGGTTTACATTGTGAATAAATTACAGTCACTCCTGTATCAGGTTCAAATTACAAGCACTAGATTGTATTACCCACTTCCATAATTATTAATGATACTAAGAAAATTTAAACTGCATTCCTCATATTAAAGATATTAAAAGTACTCATTAATAAACATTTGTAGCAAATCACAGGAGCTATTTCTATAACCCCAGCTACTCAGAAGATTAAAGCATGAAGATCCCAAATTCCTACATATCTTGGGCAACAAAGGAGAACCTGTGGCAAAATAAAGGGTTAGCAGTGTAGCTCAATGATAGTGCCTTTGGGTTGGATCCCCTGTAGGCAAAGTGAACATTAGTGTAACGCTTGTTTACCCTGACTTTAACAAGGTGTCACTAAATCTGCTTTAAAATCTATGCGTAACAAGATCATACTGCCTTCCTTTAAATCCCTAGCACAAGTGCTTGCCACCACTTCTAGACGATGCCTTGTCTTCCTCGAATATAAGCATTCCTACCAGGCAGGTGACACCTATAATTTTTAATTCATTATCTGTAACATTCAAACTCAATTTGTGGTTATAGAAAGCAACATTCAATGCCACGCCATTCCTTGTTGAATATTATAAATTTGCAAACAAAACACTCCATACTGGATTCCTGCTTCACCAAACACTAAGCAATATCAGGCATGGTGGGACACCCATGTAACCCCAGCACTTGAGAGATGGAGACAGAAAGATAAACTCCAGTTCAAGGCCAGCCTGAGCTACACAGCCAGAATCTGGGTCGTAACCCAACACATACCTTCTGTATCCTGGATCCTGCCTTCACTACATCCACTGGTATACTCAATGGTGGTCATTTAAAACAGAAATAAAAAAATGCTGGGCATGGTGGCGCTCCCTTATAATCCCAGTATTTCAGAGACTGAGGCAGGAGACACTCAGGTAGGAGGATAGCACTGCCTTCAAGACCAACCTGGGCTACAAAATGAGTTCAAGGCGGCCTCAACTACTGGCCAAATCTTGGCTCAAAAAGACAAAAAAAAGTTGTACTCCTTTGTAGCCACTTGTATTTCAGAGAACTGAAAAGGCATACAGAATGCCGGAAAGAGCAATATAAATAGAATGTTTAAAGCCCCAACAAGAAATATCTTCCAGTTAAATCACTTACAGTCATCATTTTCCTTTAGTTTCTCATAACTACTCTGTCAGATAGTTTTACTCCTCTTTATGATTTTCCTTATCAAAGAAGTTCTCTACTTGCTTTCGGATTGACAAGAGATAAAGTTCAAAAAAATGTTCTTTTAGGATTATATAAACCAGAACTTGGGCTCCCCTACAGTACAAATCTCATTGCTGACTCAGCTCTGCCTCTGCCCTGAGACTTAGGAAATTCCTTTAGGCCCTTGTTTTTTCATTTCACAAAAGGAGCTGATCTAAATCCATAAAATTCTGTGCTCTCAGAAAGCACCCACTGGGGCTGGGGATTTAGCTCAGCGGCATAAGTGCCTGCCTTGCAAGCAGGCAGTCGTGAGTTCCATCCCTGGTACCGATAAAAACGATAAAGATAAATTACCCACACCAGCCTTGCATTTGCAATGGTACCTCAACTACCCAGATACTGAGATGAGACCTGTGCCACCATGCATACCCCAACCGCTGGGGAAAACAAAAAAAACAAAAGAATGTGAGGTGTGGTGGTATACACTTGTAAACCCAACACTTTGGAGGCTGAAGCAAGAGGACAGCCAACTATTCAAGGCCAACCTAAATTTAATGCCCAGCGTGGACTATACAGTGATAAGATCCTGTCTCAAACCAATCAATCAATCAATCAATCAATTAACTTAAAAAATAAATAAGCCTGGAGCTGGGGATTTAGCAGGATAAGCACCTGCCTAGCAAGCACAAGGTCATGAGTTCAATCCCCAATACCAAATAAATAAGCCTGGAAAAATTCATCAAGTCCACTATATTTTCTTACAAAAGTAAAATTACATTGTCTTGAGGACCAAACAGGTCTGTGACTACAATCTGATACATTTCCAGTATAGTACAGTCCTAAGTAATACTAACCAAACTCAGAATTTTCATGAGGAATCAATACATGAAACACATAATAAAAGCTGATATACCAAGGACATACATGCATGTTTATCCTATCAGAAAGTTACTGTAATATTACGCTCCCTTAGTTTCTAGGCTCAAGGAAATTGTTTTTTGAAATGTATTAAATTAAATTGCACATACCAATTGCTCACCTGTTGTTTACAATAGGCTTTCATTATTAGTTCACGAAGTGGTGTATGCCTCTTAATCTTAAACTGCACCACAGAACCATTCTGCCCCGCCACCTTCAAATTAATATGGTCATTGTTCTCAGTTTTGACTCCTTCCTGTTGAAAGAAAAAAGTATAAGTTGGAAAATGTGAAAACCAGGCACCCTTTAAAGTAGTAGCAGCCCAAACTGGTGCACAAATCAACAGGTTTCATTCCCTACGATAAAACAGCAAACAGCTGTTTTCAGTCACTGAAGTCAATATGAGAGGTACCCTGCAATAGTACTAGGTAGCTGACAGAAACAGTAACACACTATCAAAGGTAACAGATTTTAAGTGATGGTTCCCAATTTATTGCATCGTTATCTTGAGACTGAATTGTTTTAAATGGTATTTTCGATCACTAATATATCCTAATAGATAAAAATGTCTTTTTCTTTGGGAAGCACTTAAAGGATAACTGCTGAAAGAGTGCAAGAGGCGAGGGGGAAAAATGAGCTTGCAATTCACATATTACAAGACTCTTGATAAAGTTACCAAATTAAGCCCCATAACAAATTCAATATACGCATTAAACACACACACACACACACACACACACACACACACACACGAATGACCCTCTTGGGAGCATCAGTAACTGAGAACCACGATTAATGCTGGATTCTATTAGCAGCTTCATTTTCTTTTATTTTTAGTTAGGTGGTCTTATATTCCCTTCCCTTTGTTGTTATGAGTAAAATGCACTGTTTTCTTCTATGTCTTCCTGGTAGATTTCAACTCAACTCGAAGTTCACCAAAATCTAGTGCGAAAGGAATTCTGCAGCCCTTAAAGCACTTCGGAAAGCAAAGGCGGTGTCAATGCACCCCAAAGAAGCAAGTTCCTTTTGCTTCTCAGACGCACGTTCCCATGCTCACCGGAAGCCGCCTGGTACCTCAAAAACCGCGCTCAGGAAAAAAAAAACAAAAAACAAAAAACCCGCGCTCAGAAGTTCTGTTCCACCAAGTCTAAGGTCGCTTATGTCAGGCTCCAACTTCCTGAAACTACAAGGTACCCCCCGGTTCTAGGGGCGCTGGCACCTGAGGAAGGGCCGCTGACCCTCCCCCCTCAGGTCCCCGAGGCCCTTAAAGTGGAAACACTCCCCGGAATGCCCAACCGCTGAGCGTGACTGTCCGAGGGCATCGGCCTCGAAGCCCCGCAGCAGCCCATGATTTGCCGCGAGCCGTCGCCCGGCCGCCGCGGCCCCCAGCCTGAGGGAAGCCTGGGCCGTGGGGACTCCCGCCACCGCCGACGCCGCGCAGCCTCGGGGCCCACGCACCGGCAGAGAAGCCCGCGCAGAGCCGGTGGGCAGCGGGAGCCCGCGATCTGCCGCCCGTCTCGCGCCGCGCGCACTGGGAGGCTGGGGAGGACGGCAGGCCTCCTCCCGCACAGGAGGGAGGAAAAGGGGAAATGAGGCGGAGCGCCCGGCCGGAGCCGTGGCCGCCCCAGGGGGGCCCGAGAAGGCGCGGGGAGCCCCGGGTGGGCTCCGGCCGGACACTAGCCCTACCGTTGCCTGTCGCGAGCTGAAGAGAGAAGGCGGCATGGAGCTCACCTTAGGCTTCTCATCGGCGCCAGTCTTCTTGGCTGCCGCTTCACAAAAGAGGTAGCAGGTCGGCCAAAGGAGCACACAAGCAGCACCACAGGAGGCAGTGGGACGCGGTAGGAGGCGGCGGCGGTGGCGAGGTAGAGGGCGCGCGCACGTGTTGCGCTTCTTCCGCCCACCCTGCGTGCGCGAGCACGACCTGGCGGGACTTTCTATTGGTGGCCTCCTCGCGGGAGCGCGCAACGCTTAGATAACCACGCCAACCCCAACCCCCCCCAACCCAAACACCCCCTCACCCCTACCACCCACCCCCCACACCTCACCCCCCACACCTCACCCCCCACCCCTCACCCCTACCTCGCCGGGTTGCCGCTGCCCGGGCTAGGTGCCCGACTGGCCGGCGGGAAGTTGCGCGGACACGCGCACTCGGCCTGTCGCGGGGGCGCGCCTGGCTCTGGGCGGGGCTGTATTGTCCTCCTTCTGTGCTGGAACATAATCAAAGTGGCTTCCAGCTGGTCCTCCGCGAAGACCACGAGTCTCCAGGCCTTAGACATAAGAGGTAGGCTGTGGCAGGCAAAAGGACTAGACGTAGAAGACAGAGCTTATATCAAAACCCCAGCAAGAGGCTCTGGAAAAAAAACTTGCTCTGCCAGCCGAATGCAGTAGCCTCCGCGTTTAGAGGAACATCCCACTTCCTCTCAGCCTCATCTCTAATGTTAAAAGTTTGAGTGTCTACCTGCTTCCCACCGTGCTTTTGCGTAAAATACGACAAACACTTCTGTCCCCCTACTAACCCTTGATTTTGGCTGAGGAAAAATGTTCATTTATCCACTCAACAAACTCTTATTCATGGCCTGTTCTTCAGCTTCAAGAGGAACACGGAGAGCTACCCAACAGGAAGCTCCCCAACCAGCCAATCTTTTCCTCCTTCCATCCACGTATAGACTAGACATAGACCCCTCCTGTTTGAAGAATAATTCTGATGTCTATCCGTTAGATTCTATCCTGTGCCTCTCAGTCAGTTTTTTTTTTTTTTTTTTTTTACTTCCTATATGGCTGTACTTTGTCTCCACTCTTCTGTGAGCATAGAAACAAAGAACAACTCAGCAACAGCTGGGTTTTGTGGCTCACACCTGTACTCCAGCCCCGAGGCTGAGGAAGGAGGGTTGCTGTGAGTTCGAGGACAGCCTGGATTTGGTAGGGAGACCTTGCCTCCCAAAGCAAAAACAAATTTAAAAAAACGTCCCAACAACAAAATCCCTCAGATTATTCTATTATGACCATAAGACTCCATTCTTGGCCCATCAGCCTGAAAATGCCTGTGCCAGCAGTCTCCAACCTCCATCTCCCACTGCTCAATCCACTGCCATCTGGTACTGCACCTGTAGCTCCAGTCACTCTCTTCAGAGTCACCATTGCTGAGCTCAGTATACATTCCGTTTGTCACTCCTTTTGAACTCTGAAAGCTGGTTTTCCTGTTATGTCAAGTTTTTACTCTTCAACTTTTCCTTACCCGTTCTTTGAGGTTTTGTTCCAGACTTCTGTATTTCCTCTCCTGCAATGATTTCACTCATTCCCATTACTGTCTGTTAGCTAATGACTCTCGAATCCATGTACCTCCACCAGATCTTTCTTTGAGCTGCTGACTTTGAACATCCCTACTTGGATATCCCAGAAGCACTTCAAACTCAGCAAATCTCAACCAAACCGTATCTTTTTACTTCTCCTTACAGGAATTCTTTCTGACACAGGCTCTTAACCCAGATGGCATACCATTAAAATAAGTGAGGTCTGAAGCCATTTTGTCCCCCTTTTTCTACTGTCCTTCAACATACTTCCACCCAGTCATTCTAAATACAGTATCTACCAAACCCATCTTCCCTTCAGCCTCTGGCTTTGGATGGAGCTTGTTTCTTTGTTTGCTTTTTGGTTTTTTTGGCATGGAGTCAGGGTAGTTTAGGCTGGCTTAGAACTCACTGTGTAGCCCAGGCTGGCCTTGCAGTGATCCTCCTGTCTCATCCTCCCAAATGCTGGAAATAAAGGTGTGCACCACCACGCCTGGCCCAGGACGGAGCTTTTCGTGGGCTCTTTCCAGTTCTCCATCAAGAGGCTGAAGGTCTTGGTGTGAGGCAGGCCAAAATAGGCAGATTGATTAGAGGAGGTAGGAAAAGCCTTATTTGATCTGGTCCAACTCTCCCCAGAGTTATGATGCTGCCCACCTGAATGGTTACTGTTGTCTCTTTTTTGTATGTATGGTACTGGGGATTAAACCCAATGTCTTCCCACTGAGCTACATCCAAGCCCTTTCATATGCTTTATTTTATCTGGAGACAGCATTTCACTAAATTGCCAAGTAGCTCAAGCTGACTCCATTTTGAAATACTCCTGCTTTAGCCTCTCAAAGTGGTAGGATTACAGGCCTCAGCCACCAACCCCAGCATTGCTTTTCTTGCTTTAAAACACTGTCTTGGGGGGCTGGGGATTTAGTTAAGTGGCATAAGCGCCTGCCTTGCAACCAGTCAGTCGTGAGTTCGATCCCCGGTACCAATAAAAAGGAAAAAGACAAAAAAAAAAAAAAAATACTATCTTGGTGCCTAAATATTTATGTGAATCATCACCTACAATGTGAGTTTTTTGGTTTTTTATTTTATTATTTTTTTAATGGGTATCGGATCTAACTCATGACCACGTGCTTGCAAGGCAGGTACTTATGCTACTGAGCTAAATCCCCAGCCCTACAATACTGGTTTAAATATAAATCTTAGCCAGGTATGGTGGCACAGGCCTGTAATCCCAGCACTTCAGAGACTGCGTCAGGAGGATCATTGTGGGTTTGAGACCAGCCTGCACTACAGAGGGAGCTGAAGACCAGGCTGAACTGCATAGTGAGACCCTGTCTGAAAAAAACAAAAATAAGCCAGGAATGGTGGCACACTCATAATTCCAGCACTCAGGAGGCTGAGGCAGGGGGATCATTGCAAATTTGAGACCAGCCTCGGCTACAGAGTAAGCTCAAGGCCAGCCTGAACTGCATAGCAAGAGTGTCTCAAAAAGAATAATAATAATAATAATAATAAAGAAGTAAGAATCTGGTCAAATGTGTGGTGGAAGTGGGGCAGCAGAGTATAAAGGGATAAGAAATGAGCAAGATATGCTATAAAGATGTGCCAATCCTGCAAGCAAACATAACTTCACTGCTGGCCATGGTGGCACACACCTATAATGTCAGCACTCAGGAGGCTGAGGCAGGGGATCATTGCAAATTCCAGACCAGCCTGGGCTACAAAGTGAGTTCAAGTTCAGCCTGAACTGAATAGTGAGATCTCAAAAAGCAAAAGAAAACAAAAACATACATATAACTGTGATGTACTGAAAACATGCATGAAATAAAGTCTTGGAGGTCAGAGATTTAGCTCTGGCTCAAGTGCTTACTGTGTAACCACAAGGTTGTGAGTTTGATAACTGGTACCAAAAAACAAACAAACAAACCAAAAGTCTTAGATGCATGGGTGTAGCTCATCAGCACAAATGCCTGTCTGGCAAGCACAAGGTCCTGAGTTTGATTCCCAGTACAAAAAAAAAAAAAAAAAAAGCCTTGGGACCCTTGGCATTATGAACGGAAGCCTCCTTTTCATGAACTTTTTATTTTGACTTAAAACAAATTTATTATCCAGGCCTGGTGGCACATGAGTATAATTCCAGCAGAAGATTAAGACAGAAGAATCACAAGTTTGAATCCCAACTGGGACATTTAGCAAGACACTGTCTCAAAAAGAACAAAAAATTATTTTTTTAAGGTGTGGGGATGTATTTCAGTAGGGGAGTGCCCTTGGGTTTGATTCCAAGTACAAAAAAAAAAAAAAAAAAAAAAAAAAAAGAAAGAAAAAAAGAAAAAGAAAAGAACACAAAACAAACCTCACAGTTCTAGAAGCCAGAAGTCCAAAATCCAGGTATCAAGATGGTGGCACTTCTGCGGAGGGCTCCAAGGGATGATTCCTGCTTTCTCTTCCGTTTCCACAGGTCCTCCTTGGCCTGTGGCTGCATCATTCCAGGCACTGGCTACATTGTTGTATGGCCTCCGCCTTGGTAGCTTTCAGGTGGTTTTTTTTGCTTGTTTATTTTTTGGCTCCGAGAAGCAAACTCACAATTTCATGCTTGCCAGGCAGGCCCTGTGCTCTCTGGTGATTCTTAAGTACATTTACATTTGAGAATAAACCATTCTAAGATGAAAAGAGAAGTTCCTGGTGTTTCTTGGTTCAGTGGCAACCCTCTAGTTTACAGGATAAAGTCCAAAATTCTTAGAAGAGCTACAAAGTCTTTTGAAAACTAATTCAGACCGGCTACACTATACACTAGCCTTCTTTCTCAGTATTTCCTTCTCAAAACTTTTGCTTTGGTCGCATTTAGTTTCTCAGGATTCCCAAAAGTGCATGTTGTCTCCCAATGCTAAAGCTTTTGTCGGCTGGAGGCACCCAACGATTGACTGAAGGAATGAATATGTTGAATTCTCACTATCTATAAAGGTCTTGTAGCTCTGGGGATGCCATGAAGAGCGGAAACATCTCTGATTCTAATGACATGTAGAGCTAGGCATGGTATCCTGGTAACTGATAGAGTTATTTCCAAAAGATGAAAAATATTAACAAAAGATGAGAAATATAAAATAAAAAGCGGCCTTTATTCTGAGAACACGGAGAGAGATGACCGGCAACCCCCACCGCTGGCGTCCGGCGATCTCTCCGGCGGACACGCGGCGTGGGGGCCTGTAAATAGCCTTGGCTTGGGGTGGAACCTAAGGCGGGCATTAGGGATACACAGGTAGCCCATTGGTCCTAGGTTTGGCGCCTTATGTAAATTCCCAGGGGCGGGAAGATGGCATCACAGGTAACTTCTTAGGGGCAGGGCAAGATGGGGCTTCCTGCTTCCAGTTGTGGCTTTCCTGGCTACAGTGTCCTGTCTGGGCCAAAACCTTTCATATCCCGTCTTATGGTTATTATTATGAAAAGGGGCGAAGATTTCTCTCTTTAACTACTTCCTGCTGGCAAAGGGCGCTGTACTGGAGCCTAGGGGAGTCGACAGGATGAAGGTTGATGCCCAGGTAGACGCTGCTGCCAGGTGTTTTAGCCAGGACAACTTCATTGGTGAATGCACGTATGTCAGACTGGAAAAACAAAGAGACAAAATGTTATGAGGAGACATGGCACTGTCATATTTAAGGACCCAGGTGAGGTAGAAGGAAAGGTGCCTTTGATTTAGACATATCATTCTATCAGGACCATGTTGAGGTAGAAACATTTCCATGGTAAGGCAGAATTCTGAAAATTAAACGTGGGGTTAGGAGGAGTGGAGTTATGAGAGGTGCTTACTCCCCCATCTGAAAGCATAAAAATTAAGACAGTAGGTTGGTAAGGCTTGTCTCTGGTATGCATGACGTTGGAGTCTGTAGGCAATACTGCTAAAGAGTCCTGCTGTAAAAATGATCATAAAATGTAAGAAATTAGGAACCAAAGTGGATAACAAAACATGACTTAGCCTGTTAACTGTGGCTGCGAGGCCTTTGTGAGACGGA